CTGTGTGTCTCTCTCTTTTATTCTTCATTAGAAGAGATGAGTCACTGGGGAAGAGAGGGAGGAGGGATACAATTAGAGATGAAGGTGATACAAAACCAAAAGGTATCAACAGAAAAAGAGAACTGATAGATATGGATTTGCATCTTTAGTCCAAGAGCACAACAGAATGACTCAGGGCTGTTGTTAGCTGGATGTGGGTTTGTTGACCTCCTGGGATGCTACCTTTTGGGGTGTGTGTGTGTGTATGTGTGTGTGTGTGTGTGTGTGTGTGCATGTGTGTGATTTAGTGTCCAGGCTCAAATTGCTACTAATGCAATTTATTGCCAGCAGCACCATAACCACCTACTTTTGCATGAGAGGAGAGAATCTGAAATTGCCTCTGCAGAAAGAGCACTGGTTCTGCAGTTAAAAGACCTGGGTTCAAATCCTCTCCTCTGACCCTTAGTACCTATGTGACCTTGGTATGTCACTTAGTTTCCCTGGGTCTCAGCTTCCCCTTCTGTAAAGCAAGGGGATTGGACCAGATGACTTAGAGTTCTGTGATGCTAATAGCAGGGCCCATGATAAATGATAAATGTGTATTTTATATACTTTCTACTCCTCTCAGCTTTGCATGACTTGGGCAAGTGCCCCACCCTTCTTATAACTGATTACATGGGTGCTAGGGATATCTATATCTATATACACACGCATACATATGTAGATATATATATACACACATTATATATACACACATATACATACATATATACATATACACACATACACACATGTAGAGAGAGATAGGTACACACACATATATATACACACATACACATGAACACATATATAGAGAGAGGTATATAGATACACACACAGAAACATACATACACAATACACATACATATATGAAGATAGGTATATTGATATATATATATACACATATATACATAAACATACATACATACACACACACATATATAGAGATAGGTATATAGATAGACACATACACATATATTTATATACACACATATACATACATATAGAGATAGGTATATAGATATATACCACATATATACATACACACATATATATCCATACACGTAGAGAGATATATAGCTATACACACTTATACATACACATTAACATGCATAGACATATATACATACATAGATATATAGAGAGAGATGGGTATATAGATATATACACATACACACACACACACACATATATATATACACATAAACATAGGTATACACACATACATACAGAGAGAGAGATAGGTATATAGATATATACACACATATACATACACACACATACACATCACTGTGTATCAAAGCAGTTCCTGAAATGACCAGGGTTTGTGAGATTTTGATTATTTTGGGATGAACAAATGGCAGATACATGGGAGCAAATGTTGCCATCCTCTTGTTCCAGTTACCATGCTCTGGAAGCCTGCAAATTGCTGGGAGCATGGGGGATTGC